TTCTAGAAAATTCTTCTAACGACAAGGCTCTTTCTTCACGGGAGCCTAACTAGTTCAGATTCGAGAAGGGCTAGATACTCATTCAACTTTCTATAAATATGCAGAAATCTACCACTTGTTTCCTTTTCACCATTGTGGCAGATTCTATAAATGTTTGTAGACAAGAAGTGGTGTAAACTAATTGAGAGAGAATTTTATTAAACTTGAAGTCTGTTTTAAAAGAACAGAAGAACTCCTATTTATAGGTAGGAGCCTTAGTACACTAGATATAAAAGGAACTAGCCATTGGAGGCTAACTACCTAACCAGACTAACAATAAGAACTAACAGACTTAACTAAATAAACCCTTTAACTACCACATCTGAACAGCTCGTCTCCAGTTAGCCATATTTCGGCGCTGGTGGTTACCAAACCTACGAGGTTCTTGATAATGAAATGAGGCGGGGAAAGGATCTTGGAACATACCAATGTTATGTCGTGGAAGGTCAAGTTCTGGATCATTTTGTTGCTGATTGCGCCGAGGGAAAGGGAGGGGTTCTTGAAGAGGGAGGGGTTCTTGATGCATTCTTGGAGCTGGTTGCTTTTCCTCTGCATCGATCCTTATTCCCTTTTCACGACCCTCTCTTGCAGAATCACTTCTTGGGCAATCTTGGTTAAGGTGAAGACTATTGTAAACAAAATTTGACGAATCTCTACCACATTCCTTTGGAGGCTTTCGACTGGCCCCTCAACCATCATCAAACGGTTGGTCGTGGTTCGTGGAGAGAGGACGGCAGTGGCTTCCGTCTCTTTGCCGATTGCTGAAGAATCCCCTACCGCTGGAATCATCTTCTTGTCGGCCATTTCCTAAACGAGCACAAGAATCTTGATGCTTTGATACCAATTTGGTGTAAACCAATTGAGAGAGAATTTTATTAAACTTGAAGTCTGTTTTAAAAGGACAGAAGAACTCCTATTATAGGTAAGAGCCTTAGTACACTAGATATAAAAGGAACTAGCCGTTGGAGGCTAACTACCTAACCTGACTAACAATAAGAACTAACAGACTTAACTAAATAAACCCTTTAACTACTACATCAAGAAGTCTTCATAGAGGGGTTCAAAGTGGTAAAAGACAAGGTGCACATCTCCCACATGCAGATGCAAATGACACCCTCTTATTTTGTGAGGGGATTGCTTCCAAATAGAAAATTGGTGCAAGTTCTTAAAAATGTTTGAGAGCTTCGGGTCTTTCTATAGATATGCCTAAAACCGACGCTCATTGGCCTCAGTGTTGATGATAGGGTAGTCTTCCAGTTGGCAACACCATTGGGATGCAAGGTAGAGGTGCTTCCTTTCACCTATCTTGGTGTCCCCCTAGAAGCAAAGCCAAGACTCACTTCCTTATGGGACCGGTCTATGGAAAAATCAAGAACAAGTTGGCTAAATGGAAGGGCTTTTCAATTTCAAAAGGGGAAGAGTTACCTTGGACTATTGTATCTTTTCATTGATGAAAAGTTGTTTCTCATTAAAAAAAAAAACTCTTAGAAGGGACAATGAAGTATGTAGTCAAGGGGACCAAAAGAAAAAGGCAAAAATTGCTACTCCATGATAGGCCATTAAGTTTCTTCTGAAGTAACATTGTTATAATAAATACTTATTACAATTCTTCTTTCTTCTTTTCATTAATAAATGAAAAGAAAAAAAATGTTTAAGGATACAAAATCCTGAAAGGAATGAAAAGGAAACAAAACAACCAAACAATCAAATAAATAAAGCCAAGTTTTCCAAATATTACAAGAGCCAGAAGATGAACTAAAAAATGAAGAACAAAATCGTTAGGGGAGATCTTGGAAAGCCAAAAAGTGATGTCAGCAAAACCCACTACCACTAAAGCAAACGCCCATAAGAAAAGATCAACTAGAAAACTTTGTAGAGAGTCAAAAACTAAAGAGGATACCCAACTATTATAAGGAAGGTTGTTTACTTTTGCATTCTCAAATTCTCAGCCAAACACAATTTTCAATTCTGCATACAAAATTAAAATTTTTGAACAGCAACACATTTTCGAATATAGTAAAACAAGAAATACAGTTCTGTTTTCTGCTAAATCTGTTATTTCCAAAAACAAAGTTTTCGATTAGGAACCAAAGGGAAGGGGGCCTGCAACTTCATCACAAATTTTAGAATCACTGCCAATTTAAAGTTGCAATAATTTCATTAAAGAATTTGCTTTTAATTTACAAATTGGATCAAATATATGTCCATTTTTACATCCCTTTAACTCCCCATAACCATACCTTAAGAAATCCTTATATATGAAACATGAACATTGTAACAACCGAAAAATATATATATATATAAATATATATATTTAATTTTTTTTTTCTTTCATTTTCTCAAAGATAAACCTTTTTTTTTAGAAATTATTTTTAAAAGATAATTTGTTCTTAGAGTAAAAAAAATAAAAAGAAAAAGAAAGAGTTTTATTAAATCTTTATCTTTTTATGTTATCCTTCTAAAAAAAGGTTTCTTTAGGGTTTGTTATAAAAACCCTTGTTATAAAAGCCCTTAAACCCAAGGTTTTATTTTTCTTAACTGCTAGACCTAGTTTTCTCTCCAGGAGAAAGAGAAAAAGAAAAGAAAAAGAGTTTTGATATTTTCTCTCAAAGATCGGTAAGTTTTTCTTCCTCATTGTTTTAGTTTTATTTTTCTTGATCTATAGTTCTTTAATTCAGTTTATTGGGAAAAGTTTTGAGGTCTTTGTTTTTTAGAATTAAAGATTTTAAGGACTTTTTATCCTAAAAATTTTCCAAAATTTTTGGTTTGAATCTTTTTGTTTATGAGACTGTTTTTGGGCTATTTTGACTTTTTTTTGCATAAAAAGTTTACTTATTTTTATCCTATAAACTATAGTTTATTGTTCTGATTTTTACATGAAAAATTATATGTTTTTACCAAGTTTTAAAGGTTTTCTATACAGTTTTCAGATGTGATTTTTTTTATAAAAATCAGTAAATTGTTAATTGTTTTATGGAAAATTCTTAGAAGTTTTATTTTATAAAACAGAAAATTTTCCAGATTTAAATTCCCCAAATTTTCAATTGATTATAAGACTTTTAAACTTGTTTTGTTGAGAAACTTTTTGTAAATTTAGTCTGTATTAATTTATACCTATTCTTGTAATTTTAAAGTTTGTTATTGTTGATTTTAGAGGCTTTTTAACCCAGTTTTCAGATCTGGTTTTGTAGCCCCAAATCCATACTTTCCTAAGTAGTTTGCATAAAAAAGTGTTTTGAATAGAAAAATTGGGTAGATAAGATTTGGTTAGTAATTGGTTGAATTTTAAATCCTTGGATAGGATTTAAGGATTGATTCTTGATATTGGTCGTTTCTAAGCTCTAAGTTGACAACTACCAAGGAAGAAATTAATTAGATTCGTAGGATTTCTGAAAGAAGTAAGTGATTTACCATATCCCTTCGAAAAGTATTGTAAGTGATTTACTATATCCATTCGAAAAGTATTGGAAGTAATTTGTCATATCCCTTCAAAAAAATAAAAATGTATTTTGGATTTGATAGGAAGATTTGAAATTGATATCTTGCATATGAAATTGAAGTTTTATTATGGATTTGAAAACTAATTTGGCAATTGAAATTATGTTTATTTGCAAAGTATTTGAAGTATTCTTAAATGATTTGATAAAGTTTTGTTTAGATTTATTTAAAGGTTTGAAGTTGATATTTTGTTTATTCGTGAAATATTTGAAATCATGTTTTAGAGGATTGATAAAGTTTGTTTTAAATTAGTTCAATGTTTTGAATTAATGTAATATTGAAAGTAAGTATTTGTTTTGCATTTTATATATTTTGATTGATTTGATAGGGCTATCTAGATATGCCATGATTTTGTTTTGAGGAACGTTTTGCTTATTTGGGGGAATGAAGATTCATGTATGTGTGTTATTCACTCACATGGCCTCACACTTAAGTAATCGTTCTGTTTGTTCTGGTCGATATTATTTCGACAACTCTGTTATGGTCGATATTAATTCGACAACTCTGATAGAAGCTTCTGATTGATTGGTGTTACCGACGGGTAACTACATATGTTCTGTAGGCTACCCAAATAATGCAATCTTCCACTCTGATTTTGAAAGTATGAATGAATATAAGATTATTTTGAATGTTTGAATGATTTAGTTATTCGAAAGTTTGAAAGTTGTACCAAATGTTTTAGAAGGAATTTTGAAAGTTTTGATTGAAAGAAAGTTTGTTTTGAAGGATTTGAAGCTTGATCGAATGAAAGTTTGTTTCGAATGAATGGAAGATTGTTTTGAATAATTAAAAGTTCGTTTTGAATGAATGAAAGTTTGTTTTAAAAGAATGGAAGCTTGTTTTGAAAGAATGAAAGTTTGTTTTGATTGACTGGAAATTTTATCTTATTTGAAGACTTTGTTTCTGAAAATCTAGTTTGTTATGAAAGTTTTGAAAATTGTATTAAATAATTTAAAGGACTTTATAAGTTTTGATCTGTTCGTACTTTTGTTTACGAATGTTTTGAAAGGAAAATGAATTTCGAAATTCGATAGGGAAATTGCTTATTGAGTATTTTTGTACTCATTTTTGTTTTCCTAAATGTTTTTCAGATGAAGGACTGAATGATCCTTCTGGTAGAAGGTGAAGATTAGCGTCCTGACATGAGTTTGAAAGTCATCTTCCTATTTAGTTAAGTTAGTTTAGAAAAATTCTGTAAAGAAATTGTTTCAGCTGAATAAATTTAGTTCTTAAAGTTTCTTGAAAGTTACGTTTCTGCATTTTGTCAGAATGACCGTATTAGAAAATACGGGTTGTTACAAACATGAAGACATTGCAGCAAAGTTTCAACCCTATAAACTATAAATCCCTGTATGGAATCGTTTTATACCAGCGTCGACAATTTAAAATTATAAGAAATATTATGTAAATCCACACAAGTTTCATGGAAAGCAATCTAATAGAGTAATTATTTAAGAATATACCGGGTGTTTATACAAAATCGCCAAAGGAATTGTACTCATATCGATGCTTGCTTGACCCACCCACAACCTCGCAAACTTAGCTCCTAAAACACAAAAAATGAAGAAAGGGGAAGAGTGAACATACAAATTAAATTTCGAATTTTATGTCATGTTTCAATTTAATTGAAGTAGTCCCAAAATTTTTCTCATGTCTTTTGAATCAAATATCATATTTCTATGTGTTTCCAACAATTCAAATATTTGGAAACTCAGTATACATTCAATTTTCAATTCAAACAAGCTAAGAAGCACAGGCACGGACATGCAACATGGCTATGACACGACACGAACACGGCGACAGGTCAATTTTAGAAAAAATAGGACATGACATGCTGGGGATACGTTAATTTTTTTAAATGAAAATTATGTATGTTATGCTTTTTAATTGGTATCAAGAGCACCAAGATTCATGGGCTCATTTTGCCATGGCAAGCAAGAAAGCTCCCACCAATGTCGCAGGAGATTCTTCTTTTGTGAGAAAAGCGGCGGATCAAACCACTGCTGTCTCACCACAAGCCACAATCAAACACTTGATGTCAGTTGAAGGAGCTATAGAAGATATCCAAATCGTAGGTGAGATACAACAACTTTTGAGTAAAATAGCTTGGCAACTCGAAGATCTAAATCTATTGCAACATCAGGCAAGAAATGGCCAAGAACAACCAAGGGAACAAGATAATCTGACTCTTCAAGACCAACGATATGTTCAAACAAAAAGATAAGAACTTGTTTGAACCAAGAATTCTGCAAGAACCACGAGCTAATCGGCAAGAATTCAATCGAAATCCTTTGTTTCAAAGGAGAGATGAAATACATCTAGATTCTTCGAGTGAGGAAGACGAGATCCTTAATTTGGTAGAAGATAGACGAATAATTAGACCCAACCAACAGCAATTTTATGATATAAAAGGTAACGACAATAATCTTCATCAAGAACGACAAGAGCAATCTATGTTAACAACAAGACAGCACCAAGAACAGAGGAACCAGTCCACAGGAAGTATTATAAATTTTTTCTACCACAATAGACCTCAAGAATGCAAAATTAAAGGGTTATTGCTTCAAGAATCCAACTTTTCCAGCAAAGAATAATAGTTTTTCTAAAGAGTTTTGATAATTTTTCGTTATGCCGTATTTTTTGGATTGGAGTCCTTTTTTTGTATATAGCGAATTGTTTGGCTCCTTTTATTGGGTTGGTTTTTGTTTGCCATTTTGTATTCTTTCATTCTTCTCTATGAAGGCGGGTTTTCCACAAAAGAGTTTAAGAAATGTTAAATTGTAATTTAAAGAAAAACTACAATTGTCCATTTATTTTTTATCCATCTTAATACCCAATGTGGTTGTAAATCATTTATATATTTTGCCATGAGGCATAAACAAAACATGTCAATAGAATGTTGTTTTGAATAATAGAAAGTACCTGCCATAGTTGCAATATTCATGGAGTGATTAAGTACCCTACTATGACATGAAAGATCCCACACTCGTAAGACTCCATTGAAATGAAGAACAAACAAAAATTGCCTTCCATAAACCTGAGATATTACCATGTCTAGCACGGCTCCTACCAACTTGACCCTACATAAAGCCAAGCTATCATTTTAAAAAATAAATAGATACGAACAAACTAAGATAACACAAGAATAGACAAAAGGTTCAGCTATAAAATACAACACGAGTAATTAATGCTGCAATATAAACAACTTCAAGTGAAGTTTCATATTTACTTCAAAGAAAAGTAATCAATTTAACAATTTCAACACCGTGAATAAAGAAATGAAAAGGTATGTTGCAATTTTGTCATTACTTGAAAATGAAAAAGGAAAGATTCAATAGCATATAAATGGGCCAACCAAATTGTTCAATTCAATGTTTCATAGGAAATCAGATCTTTCCAATCAAATCCCTCAACCTTAAACTCATTTCATACTAATACATTAGTTATATGTTAGTATTTCCTTTCTTTATTCAGAATTCCATTGCTGTTAGTAACGGTTGGAGGAGCTTATGAGAGATTTTCTTTGGGAGGGAGTTAACAAGGGTGGGCGGGTTTCCCATTTGATTATTTGGGGATGCTTTCAAGGCTAATAGAGCTTGGGGTTTGGACATGGGTAATCTCAAACTTCACAATGAATCTTTGTTAGTTAAGTGATTTGTTGTGGCACTTCTCTTTGGAACCAAATACTTCATGGTGTAGGGTTAATAGCATATCGAAAAGCCCTTCGGAAGCTATCCCTTTAGGTTTTCCTTTCATATCTAAGTTTGTGAAATGTTCTATCGGGAATGGCTCAAATAATTATTTTTGGGAGGATTATTGATGGGAGATATTCCTCTTCGTTCTCTTTTCCATCGTCTAGACTATCTTTCTTCCTTGAAAAATTGCTCAGTGGCCTCAGCGACGAATAGAGAAACAGTGGACGTCTCTTCTTTACTTTCTTTATTAGATTTTGTTCTTTTTTCTTCGAGGTGTAGGGATTCTTGCTAATGTTTTGTGACATGTTTGGCACTATGCTTTCTTAACCGTCTTATGGCAATTTGGCTAGAGAGAAACAAGATTTGAGAGGTTTTGGGAGGAGGTGTGGTCTTGTGCCAAGGTTAATGCATCTCTTTGGGCATTTGTAACTAAGGATTTTTGTTACTATCCTTTGGGCCATGTCCTTTAGGATTGGAGCCATTTTTTGTATATCTAGCTAATTTAGTTGTCGGGAGGCTCCTTTTTTGGGCATTTTTTTATGCCTCTTTTGTATTCCTTCATTTTCTCTCAATGAAGGCTGGTTATTCGATCAAAGTATTTGTTGAGCTGATAACAATCTTTATCAAGACCCAACTGCAACATGGATGGCAACACAAAAATGCTTAAATTGTTCTCCATAAACGAGTGCACTGGTTTCTTGAAGCAGCAAGTACATTGGCCATGATCTATGAGTTGGTATAATACATACATCCATTTCATAAGGATTGTTTCACCTACTCTTTAATACCTCTCTCTACTTCCTTTGAAATTCTTAACTGAGGTGAAGTATCTTCAAATTATCTTTATCATTTGTGTCATTAAATATAGGGACGTTGACCTCCTTTGCTATGAAAACATCGACCTCTTTTTGTCAATTAAATGAGAGTGTATTTTCAGTTCTGTCAAAAAAAAAAATCAAAGAAACCAGTAAATGACCGAGTAGTTCTACTCAAATTCCCAAAGTAAAGCTTACTTAATAATAACTATAGCCCTTCTATAAATTTTCTTTGGAAATACAGGTTCAAATATGTGTAGGTGATTGGCAACCTCAGCCTCATTGTCAATCATTTAATCAGAAACAAAAGCAAGCAAATTTTTCAAGTAAGATGCACGCCTGTATAATGCGATAGTTCATAAATGAGCACCTTGAAATGAAACCCAATAGACGATTGATTCCAGAATCATCCCGTAGTTCATGTTCAAAGCCTAGAAGTATACGAAATGGTTAGAGATAATGCATAAACATAGCAAAATAGTACAAGTCTCAAAGATCCTCAACAACCACGCAACACAAAAATAAAGAATTAAAATGAATTGCAGATAGCTGTAAGTTCGCATTTACATCCACTGCCTAAACAGTAATAATAACGCTGGTTAAATAGCATTACAAGAAGGTATGTCACAATTGACAAATAAACATCTTAAAGTTTTAGACAACAACCATCTGTTGTCAGTTACAAAGAAGCTTCCTACTAGTAATGAAGTAACGCATTCGTCCTTCTTTCAATCCTATTTCGGAAAATCACAATACATGTAATAATTTAGCCACCGTCAAAATCGAAAAGTAAATTCATACCAGGGGTGTGTTGGTCAAGCAACCCAAGTTTGAAACATGAAACTGATCCATCATTTCTCCCAATCACGAGACATCCAGCTATAGCTGATACGCTGGTCACTGGTTTGCAGTTAGGATCGGTTTGCAGATCAAGCTCCACAACCTCATCAAGAGGGATATCAGAGCAGGATATGTACGAGGAAATATTTCTCAGCTTCAAACAATATGCAACTCCAGACAAGGTCACTGCGTACACCAAGAGAGGATGTAGGGAAGACGGAGAAATCTGCAGTTTTCCTCGGGATTAAAAACCCATTAAACCATTCCAGCAGGCAGAAAATTCCGACAGGGAAAAATAGAAACCGACCTCATTTTTGCAAACAAACACGGCTGGGTGAAGTGTATCCGGAAAAGAAATTCGCAGGCCAACCCTACGAAATTCGTTGGCAGTTGAAAACTCAAAGAACTCGAGTGCACGAGGTAGAATCTTCCGAATCCTCCTGTTGTGTAGAAAGAAAAATGGAAGAGCGATTGGGCTCGTTAGCACCGAACAACGCAATCAATAAACTGAGGGAGAAAGATGGATTTGTACCAGATGAGATGGGTTGGAGGATCTCCTACGACAACGCAGGAGGCATGGTCCTCTGTCAATGAGGTGGTAGCTTGTGAAGCAACAGCGCCATCTCTGAATGAGGGAGAAGGAACAGAAACATCAATGAATTCTACTGCGTGGGTAGCCATGATAGAGGTCTCCATTCCGGCCAATGGAACCCTACGCCCCATGTTCTCCCTTCTCGTCGGATTCATCCCCCACAACTCTTCCTTCTTGAGAATCTGAACAGAAGCTAGAACCCTACTTCGGGGTTTTGCGGACTCCGCATATTTTAACCCATTTGCGAGTGGGCTTTCGTTCTTTTTTTCTTTTAAGTTTTTTAAATAAATTACATGGAAATATGAGATATTGTTGTGGCTACTTAGCAATAAAATTTGTTCGGAAAAATATGGGAAATTTGAGGGAATAGGCATTCCGTGGAGCCTTTTAACTTTTCTAATTGTCCTTTCAAAACACAAGTTTTCTAAGCATTTGATGATGTGAAGTTATGTATTTACCTTTTTTCCACTTTTTTTTCCCACTCTATTTCCCTCTCTCTCTTTACTGTATTTTTTTTTCTTCTATCATTTTTCATTAACCCATTCTTTCTCTCTTCCACCGTGGGTTTTTTTTCCTCATCCTCTCTAAAATTTTCTTAGGTTTCTCGTTCCCTCCTTCTTTACTCTAAAAAAACCCTAAATCTTTCTTTTCTTTTTAACGAGCAGCCTCCATGATTCCGGTGATGCCAGCGACGGGTGCATCAAAATCGACGAGGGAGGTCGTTTGCCGAAGAAGAAAGCTCAAGGAAGAAGAAAGTTCAGCCTAACCTTTGGGGATGTGGATGGGGAAGAAGATAAAGAGAAAGAGAGAAAGTTGAGCAAGCGAGAGAGCGAGAAAAGTGAGGGAGTGAGAGAAAGTTGAGATAAAACGTTATTTGGTATTAAAATTTAATCTAAATTTGTTTCCTTAAATTTCTCGAAAGTAATTTTAAGATGTGATCTTAGTTTTGATTTTGAGTTTGGAGTTTTATTAATTTAGGAGATTAAAGGAGAGATTTTAAGGAAGAAGAAAAAAATATTAAACAAATTTGATTTAAATTTCAAATTTGAATATGAATACACTAAAATGAGATTGAGATTCTATTTTCTTTAATTCTAATTTTCAAATTTTTAATTAAAAAATCTTTAATCTCTTAAATTATTTGGTAATAATTTTGAATTTGAATTTTACCCAACATTTTATTTATTTACATTTAATTTTATTTATGATTTCATTTAAATTGACCAAATTTTATTAATAGTTATTTAGATTAATAATTAATTCAATAATTTGTGAAATTTATTCCATAATTATTCGTTCTATAAATAGATTTTTAAGTAATTAAATTAAATTAGAAATTCAATTCTCTTTCTTCCCTCTCTCCCGTTCTTCTCTCTCCCCCCCATCTCTCGCTCTCTCTCGTTCTCGTTCTTCCCTCCCTCCCTCATCTCTCGCTCTCCCTCGTTCTCGTTCTTCTCTCTCTCCCTCATCTCTCGCTCTCTCCCGTTCTTTCCTCTCCCCCTCCAGGCGTTTTCCGGTGATATTCTTCTTCGACGGTGGGTCTCACGTTTGTGCCAGCAACATCTCCTCCCTCGTCATCATCTTTTATGAGATTTGCTAAATATTTTGAAAAATCTAAACTTTCCTTAGCTTTTCTCAACTGGGATTTTGGGAAAAAGATAACGGAAAAAAAATCAAGGAAGTGGGAGGGAAGAAGAAAATTATGGAAAAAGAGGGAGGGAACAAGAAAGTGGCAGATTGTGTATAACTTTAGAAAAATAAGGGAGATGGTGGAGAGAAAAAATGGGAAAGAAAGATATGGAGAGAAGAAGTTGAAGAATGAGAAAGAGAAATAATAATGAAAGAGAGAGAATTGAAAAATGAGATAGAGAAATAGTGAAAGAAGGGTAAATATGTAATTTCATATTATCAAATGACTAGAAAACTTTTGTTTTCAAAAGGACGCTTAAAAAACGAAAAAGGTCCTATAGAACGCCTATTGAGTCAAATTTCCCAAAAATATGTCGTTTTAAAAGTGGGATTAGAGCAAAATTAGGCAAAAAATTTTGTCAATGGTGGAGCAACCGATTTTGTAGATAATTGATGAAGAAGCATATTAGGGCATAATTGGGACTTCTTTTACAATCGAGCAACAGAAATTTGACGGTACTAAACAATTCATTGACTACTATACGAAGAGAGAAGGTGATTATGTTTAGGTAGTTAAATGTTTTTTCCCCCTGAAAATAGGAGTTAATGTTTTTTGGTTAAAGAATTAGTTATATAGTTTAAGACTTGTATGTATCCTTAGTTATTGTTGTAATTATTCTTATAAATAACAAGTATTTCTTATCACATCAATTAAGTGTTGAGTATTGTAATTTTACACGTTATTGCTGTGTCATATCAAAGGTAAACTTCTCATCTTCGTGGATACTCCTTTCTTCAACCTTAGTTTTCTTTCCTTTTTTTTTAAAAGCTTCTACAGTTCTCAATATATATTTCCACAGTCTGATAAAGAAAATTTGTCTCAGATTTCTCCTTTCTCATATATCTACGCTCGTCTCGGTACAACTCAACTCTTCAAACTACGTTCTATGGTGTGTTCAATTGACGTCTATTTTGAAGCTCACTCTCTCTTTGGATTCATTGATAGATGTCCATATAAGTTTTTTCATAACGATGAATTTCACTCCCCGAATCCTAAGTTCAAGTTGTTGCATGCTCAAGATCATGTCCCTGCTACACTAATCAATGCAACTTTGTCTCAAATCGCTCTATCTTTCATTGATGGTTGCACAAGTTCTACGCAAGTATGGGATTCACTTGAGAAACATTTCTCTTCCTCTACTCGGACTAGTATTATCGGTCTGAAATCTAAGTTACATAGAATCTCCAAGAAGAGTATTGTTGATGATTACATTTAGGGAATCAAGATTGTTCGTCCAAGACAAGGTTGTAGCTGTATTTGTTCATATCGATGACGAAGATGTAGTGATATATACTTTAAACAATCTTCCACTCAACTATTATTCCTTTTGAACCTCCCTTCGAACTCGATTTACAGTCGGCCTCTACATCTACGATTATTGTGTCCTTTACCCAATTTTCTCATGCAACCAGCCTCATCAATTTTTAGTCCTCCCTTACTTGATAGTATATCTTTTGCAAATATCTCTTCCACTGTTCCCGCTACTAAAAATATCTCATCAATTTTTCCATCTACTTTTTGTTCCATCATGCTTGCTACCACATCTAACTTGTTGGGTTCTTGTTCATTACCCATTAGTATACCAATACTAATCCCATGGAGACTCGTTCTAGTGCTAGTGTGTTCAAATCGAAGGCATATGTTGCTTCTACTTATTTATCCAGTGTTGAGCCTACCTCATTTAGTGGAGATTAGCCATGACTGAGGAATATGAAGCTCTTCATCCTCAGAATACTTGGTCTTTAGTTCATTACCGTACCTAAATTTGATTGGATGCAAATGTATCTTTCGTGTTAAATGGAATCATGATTACGATGGATCGATCGCTTGTTATAAGGCTTGTTTCGTTGCCAAGGGATTTCATCAAGAACATGATCTTGATTATGTGGAGACTTTTAGCCTCATTGTTAAAAAAGCCTACGGAATTACGTCAATTAGATGTCAAAAATGCTTTTTCCTTGGCAATCTTTCTGAAGAAATATATATGACTCGACCATCTGGCTCTATTGACTCTATGAATCTTGATTATGTTTGTCATCTTCACAAGTCTCTTTATGGGCTCAACAGGCACTTTGAGCCTGGTTTGCATGTTTTGTGTTATATATCGTCCCTGTGTTTGACTTAGTTGCACCAGCTACTCCTTCTTTATTTGTACGATGGGTTGACTCATCTATTACCTATTTGTTATTACTATGAGTAACATGTGCAATGCACGTGAAATCTATCATTTATTACATTTTTTTAATATCTGTGAGTGTCCGGGCCAGCTTACGCGCACCTCGACTAATCTCACGGGGCAACCACCTGACCCTACAACATTTGTTGTCAGGAAACACATAGGAATAACTAATTCTTAAAGTAGGTGGCCATTATGGGATTCTAG